TTTTATTAAACACATAGTGTTTTTCCTAAAATATTTTAAAATAACAGAAGGTCAGCATATGTTGACACATGGGTCCAAAATTCACTAATGTAGGTAAAATTGACTTTTTTAAATAAAGAGCAGTTATACACTGTTTCTCTGGATGGCTACAAGATACTGCAACACAATGTATGGTGTAAATTAGATTGTGTTAAAAAATTATACTGTCCAAAACTCTATGTTGCAACTTATATGTGGAATATTCATCACAGTAAGCCACTAAACCATAAATAATAATGAAATCATGTATTGTCGTCTTGTTTTTGTGACAGGTTTGTCAAAGCAATGCCAATAAAATTCAAACAAAAAAAAGTTAAACAATTTTGGTTGGAAGTATTTATGGCTGGTATTTAGGCCCATGGACTGAGAGTGGTATAGAAGAGATATAAAGAGTGAGCTTGGTAGAGTGAGAGGGTGAAGAAGCAGAGAGATAAGATACAGAAGAACATATTGTGAAGGTCCTCATTTCACCCTTGTAAATTTTGTGTGTCATATGGATCCCGCCGTCTTGGACAAGAGACGGAAAGGGGAGATGGAGCTCTGTGTAGCATCATGTACAGAAATGCCTTTGATAACTTGAGTAATCTTCCCTCCCTTCACACACACACACACACAGACACAGACATACATATTTTAACTATGGCTTGACACTTTCTGTCATTTTGAACAGGGAAAGAAAAAGTTGGGTAAAAGAATGTTGGCGTTTGAGTAAGTGGGTGGAGGGAGTGTGTAAAGAGGAGTGGAGGGGGAAGGAAGAGGGAAACTCATTCAGTAGAGAGGGGCAGAGAACAGCTGAAAAGCTGAAGAGGAGGAGTAGTGGGGGGATTGGGGGGGCATGGGTGGGGTGTTCCCACATAGGACATGTGTCAGTGTCTGTTGAAATGTGTGTTACCCACCCGTTCCCCTCATTCTCACCCAGAAACTCAGAAGAGGACACGCCTGGCTTCATCACGAGCTCACAGGACAGAGAAAGAGAGGGAAACAAGAGTGTAGCCTTAAAGCCGATCAGCTGATCGTAATCTGAGAGGAAGCAGGACTTTATAAGAAGGGAGTTCAAAAAGCATCTTTGTCAGCGAAGGTTAAACAGCAATTATTTTTCTTTTTTTTCCCTGAAAAGTAATAGCAAACGTTTCTGAAATGCTTGGGACAATAACTCTAACAGGTAAGATGCATCTAAAATCTATGACTTGTTAAAGTTGAGACGTATCATGGTTATTATTAGGGGACAGTGGAGGGCAGTAATAATTAAGATGGTTTGTGTAGGAAATTCTTGACATCTTTATTATTATTATTGGGTTAAATTACAAATGTGTTATACAGTAATCAGTTAAAATTGTGGACAAATTCTAATATTGTCTGCCTGATCTGTAGCTTGTGGCATCATTGTATAGAGGACAATGTTGTTAAATACTGTTTAATATGTTTTTATGAGAAAATATTTAATTGATTTTTCATTTGAGCAATTAATTATTTTCACTTGCATATCTCCAGGTTATTTTGTGTAGGCTATGTGTTTAATTATTTTGCATTTCATTAAAGCCTTAGAACATATGAAACACCAAGGATTCCTTAAAAGTATCAGTGTTTTGTTTTTTTACAAATACATACAAGAAATAGTTCTGTATATACTAACAGTGATGCTTAGAGTAGTGAAGTCATATCTCTAGTCTGTTAATGTGAAGCATTAACCTTTAAGTATGGGAGACCAACCTGAACCTTAGAAGGATTTATCTGTTCTACATCTCATGTAGTATGAGAAAACAGTACAGTTGGTGGGTTTATACATGTACTATATAGAATTCTTGGAAATGTTGCGATCTGATGGGCTTCAGTGGTCTCAGATGTCCTTCTTTTTAGGAATTTTAATGAGTTTTTAAGCCCCTCAGATCTTAGTCAGGGTTCTCGAGAGGTGGTGTGGGTGTATGGAATTGATTACCTGCTGCACATGACTTCAGAGAGTGTTTTGATTAGCTGGGAATGTTTATTAGGATTTTGTGTGGATGTTTTTATCTTTGTTTATGTCCGTTTAATCCGTTTTTTCCTAAATTGACCATTTCATTTTATTTTAATTGGCTTAAATTTCATATATGCATTGCATTGCAGGCTTATTAATTTTCTGTTTACTTAATGTAGTTATTCAACACTACCCACTTCCAAAAGTGGAAAGAAAAAATCTTGATTGTTTCATGATTCACATTTATGTCAAAGGGAATCACTAAAGTGTAGTTATTTAGTGTGGGAGGTTTGGTAGTTGGCCTGGTAGGGGTCCGACAGTCAGTCTACTGCTGATTCTTCCTGTAACTTCCCTAAACTCACAGACTCCACTAATGAACAGCCTGTATTTGCATGTAACAGCAAGGGGTAGGGGGTTGTTGACCATTACCACAGACCCATCTCAACAAACATACACCCCTCCCCTGTCTTTCTAGACTATCACACCACTGCGATTTCAGATGGCATTTGCACCCACCCATTCCAAAATGCTCACCCACAGTTCCACACTTTAACAGCTACAACAGACATGCTATCAAATTCCTTGGCTCGAGTTTCCCCAGTCTAAGCCACCATTGAGACAAAGGCAAATGTAGGGCGACTGGTAGATTCACCAAGTCTTTGACCCATTTTGTCTTTCGTACTCCTGTAAAAATGCATTTGCACATATACAGCGCCTCCCTGTCTCCAACTGTGTGAGGCAACAGCAGTGTGTCTTTTTGCATAAAAATGTGTGTCCTTCATTGTTAAAACATTACTACAGTGTAAGAAGAAACCTCCTGGAATGTACCCAAAGGAGATGTTTTTAAAATAATGGAAAGATGAATTAAGAGCATATAATCTGTAGCTGCACATCTGTCAAGAGAAAAAAGACTGCATGTTTAAGGCGGGTTTTTAGTTTAATTATATTTGTGGGCCTCTTTCTAAATGTTTGCCTAATTACCGTACTACTCTGACATTTTGATCCCAACTTTACTTTTTTTTAACACTTCTGCACAACCGGGAATGTTTAAACTATAAGATTTTCTAATTGTTTTGCTAATCAGTCTTCCATATCACCAAGACTGAGAAAGTTCTATCTGTCATTCTATATGGCTTCCCATAATGCCCTTTTCCCATTTTACAATAAGGATTTTCATCATGGTAGTTTAAGTTCCAGGATGGACAATAGTGTGGGCCCCCCACCCCTTTTAGCACAAGCAGGAAAAAAACCAGGGGCCCATTGTGAAACAAAGAGGACAACACAATACAGTCTTCCTAAGCTGAAGTTTAGAATTTGGTTTGGTCTGTGGGGGGGATGGGGATGCCATTGCGTCCCTGTTGAATTGTGGGATTAGGTTTGTCCTTCACTAAATTTAAAGCATACATTGAAAACACAGAGCTTCTTTTTTTTTTTTGGGGGGTTGTTTGTTGTATTGTTGGGGGATGGGGATGCCATTGCATCCCTTTACCACATTGAACTGTGAGATTTAGTTTGTGCTTCACTAATTTTAAAGCATTGAAAACACAGAGCCTCTTTTTTGTTTTAAACCAACAGATAATGGACTGATAAATGTAAGCGAGTGACCACAACAGCATAAAGAGCATCAGTATTTTATTTTAATGACTGTCTGTTGTCCTAAGAGTTTGATATGATGGCAGGCAGTAAATATAAATATAAGCCATCCCTGTTGTTTCGCTGTAAGATTTTCAAGTTTAGGGTAATCAGTCCAAGACTTTACCAGTCACATAAAAAAGAAACCATTCTAGAACAATTTATTAATCATTTTGATCTCTGGCTTAAGTTGTTTTGGTAGATAAATGGTTTGCTGCCCCTTTATCTCGGCCTGTGTCATACAAGTGTGTAGGAAGCCAAGTAATGTGATATCCATGTATTAAAAATGCTTGGAATTTGTTTTTAAAGTCACTGGGTGGGTTTCAGACCCTAGAGCAAGAGCAAGCAGAGCCAGATGTGAACAGTCCCTTGCTAGGTTGGATGTCAAAGGAAAACTGGGCCTCTAGGAGGCTCACACTACATGCAAACTCGACTCCCTCTTCCTAGCCCCACACACTCAAAACCAACCCACTCTTGTCAAACCACAGATAGGCAAGGGAGGAATTCAAGGCATTATGAGTGTTTGTTCTCGTGTTTATCCCACCTGTTGCAATTTTATTTGTTACGTTTTGTCTTTGGAAGCTTAAGAACTGGGCAAATATACAGGCTTAATGAAGATTAATAAAGTGATATAAATTAATTAATTAAACAAATACATTTATGCATTTATCAGACACTTTTATCCAAAGCGACTTACAGTGCATTCAGGCTATACATTTTTTACCAATATGTGTGTTCCCTGGGAATTGAACCCACAATCTTTTGCGCTGCTAATGCAATGCTCTACCACTGAGCCACAGGAACATTATGATATCATTATGTGTTTGCTGTGCTTTATTAAATGAGGCCAATTTCATAGTCCAAAAGTTTGGCAACATAGCCTGCATAACTGTGAAGCTTACAACACTGGTTGCTTATTTCCCCTGGTTGCTTTGATGTTAAATGTTGTCATCATTCCCCAGCTTATAATTTTTTTGTTGGTGCTCTCAAGAAAGAGACCAGAAAATGTATTGCCATCATATGCCTGATTAAATCTGAACAGGGGGTGAAAATGTTTTTGCAGGTTTTCTAGCAATGTGGCTCTGATTTCCTTCAATTGCCACAGCCCTCCATCTTGAATTAATTATATCACTAGATCATGTACTTTGCTTTTATAACTCTTAACTTGTTTTTCTACACTTAGTCCTGTTGAGAACTGGCTATCGATAAGAGACAAATTAGTTTTATAAGACTTTATGAGTGTTATGCTATTTAATGAATGATGATTATTTGATTTATGCTATTTCATAAGTGTGAACTTGGGTAACTTGAAATACTGCAACTGAAATAAATACACTAAAAACTTTACTAAAACTTTGCATATTTTTCATTACAGTTGGCCAGACGGAAACCATCACCCAAAAAGAAGACAGCCCTGAAACAACTGAGGTGCATCAAGAAGAGGTTGCCCCTCAGGTTAATGGAGAGAAAGGAGACGATTCTGCAAATGCAGATGAAATTACAACCACAGAAGAGAAGGCAGTACAGGAAAAACAAGAGGAGGCCAATGAGGTGGGCTTCAAGAAGATCTTCCGTTTCGTTGGATTCAAGTTCACACTGAAGAAAGACAAGAATGAGAAAACTGAGCCTGTGCAACTGCTGACAGTGAAGGAAGCAGAGAGTGGTGCAGATGCAACTTCTGAGGAAAAGAAAGAGGAACCTGCAATAGAGGAAGATAAATCGGTGGAAGACAAATCACCAGAAACTACAGAAAAAGAGCAAGAGGCCACGACTGAAGAAGAGACTGATAAGGCAGAAGAACCAGCAGACCAAACTGTAGTTGATGCCCCATCAGAGACTGAAAAGGTCGGTGAGGAGGTGACTGAAAAATCTGCTGAAGAAATAGGGACAGAAAAAGAACCAGAGAAAGAACCAGAGCCAGAAGCGCCAACTGAATCGCCCACAAGTCCAGAGACACAGAGTCCCTTTAAGAGATTTTTCACTCAGGGAATCTTTTCTAACCTGCGGAAGAAGGCAAGCTTCAAAAAGCCCAAAGATGAGGAACAAGGCAAGGAAAAGTCTGCAGAGGAGGACATTAAGGAAACTGAGGAGACAGCAGAGGGTGTTGTTGAGGGTACAGAGGAACCTAAAGGGGATGCAGAGAAAGAACCAGCTGACGGTGAGCAGATAGAGAAACCTTCAGAAAAGGTTGAAACTAAAGCTGAAATGACAACTGAAACAACTTCCACTGAAACAGAAGAGCCACAAGAACTTAAAGTAGAAGCTGAGGCTACAAGTGAAGCTGAAACTCTGACTCAAACTGAGACTCCTGAAGCTCCAGCTGCTGAAACTGCTGTTGAAGCTCAACCCTCCGATGATTCAAAACAAACAAGTGACAAGCCAGATGTTTCAGAAGCAGCGACAACTGAAGCTGAAATCCTGTCATCTCAGGAGAAATCCAACTTAAGCCCACTTAAGAAGCTGTTTACAGGAGCAGGGCTAAAAAAGCTGTCATCCAAAAAGCAGAAGAGTAAAAAAGAAGCAGAGTCAAAGCAAACAGAATCAAGTGAACCAGTTGCTGAAAACATCCAATCATCCACTGAGTCAGCTGAGCCCCAGAAACCTGACAGCGGAGCATCTTCTCCAGAAGAATCTGGTGAGCATCTTGTAGGGGAGGTACCTCAAGCTGAGGTGGCTCAAGCCGAGGTGGCTCAAGCTGAGGTGGCTCAAGCCGAGGCTGCTCAAGCTGCAGAGACTGAGGGTGAACCAGTCACTTCTGACAGTGAGAAGAAGAAAGATGGAATTTTACCTTGGTCCTCTTTCAAAAAACTAGTCACTCCAAAAAAACGTGTCAAGAGGCCCTCTGAGAGCGAAGATGAAGCACCTGGAGACAAACCAAAATCTTCTACCCTATCTTCAAATGAGAGTGCTGTCTTTGATGAGAAAACTGATGAGACTAAACCTTCTGAAGAGGTACCATCTGAGTCTAAAGAAGAGTCACAGGCAGAATCAAAGGCTGAGCCAAAAGTCGAAAAGCCTGAACCAGCTGCAGAAGAACCAAAAAGAAAAATGGATACATCTGTGTCCTGGGAAGCCCTTATTTGTGTGGGCTCAGCTAAAAAAAGGGCCAGAAAGACTTCTTATTCTGATGATGAAGAACCTAAGATTGAGGAAGAAGTGCAGCAGTCAGGAGAAGAGCAGATAAAAACCGCTGAGTCCCCTCTTGTAAGCTCTGGTGAAGCTGATCATGAGAATTTGGCTTCTTCACCTGAACCAGAAGAAGAACTTGTGTCTACCTGGGAATCTTTCAAGAGGCTGGTAACCCACAGAAAGAAACCTAAAGCAGAAGACAAGTCTGATGAAGCCTCAGGCCCAGAGCATACAACCTCTGACAGTGAAGCCCCCAAAGAAGAATCCTCTTTCTCTTTGAGGAAATTGATTCCACGCAGGAAGAAGAAGTCTGATGGTAAACAAGAGCAGATTTCTTCTGACATTGGCTCTGCAGAGGATGATTCTGACACTCCAGCTGTGGTACCTCTTTCAGAATATGACAATGAACCAGCTGCAGAAGTTGCGGTTAAGGGAGAGGAAGTGAAGCAAGAATCTGCACCAGTCACCCAGGCAAAAACCTCAGCTGAGGATAGATCACCATCTTGGATCTCAACCACTGTGGAAAATGTTGAGGATGAGACAGAGGGAAAGCAGTTGAGTGACATACCCGAAGAAGGAGACACAGCTGCCACACCCAAATCGACTGATAACACTATTGCAGAGGACATTGTTGAGCTTACTTCAGAAGCAGTTACGGCCCTTGAACAAGTAGAGGAGACTGAAATGGTTTCTGCTGTATCACGTGTTACAGCATCACCAGTTACATCAGGTGAGACAACTCCTGTCCCAGGTGATGGTGTAGAGAAGACGACTGATATAGTACTACAAGAAGCTGTGGAAACTATCAGTGTTACCATAAGTGCCATGGCTGTCACCATGACTAAGGAACAGGAAGAAATAGTTGCAGTCACCACTGATGCTCTTTTGGTCGAGTCAGCTATCAAGGAAGAGAAAACCATCTTGGTTGCACATGAGAAAACAGAGGCAACTAGTGTTTGCACTGGCCTTGACACCAGTGAAATAAAGGTGGTGGAGGAAGAAAACCTCACTCAGAAGCCTTCAGTGGAGTCGGTAACAGTTGTTAGCCAGGTTCTTGTCACAGAGTTGGCTGTTGAAGACAATACACAGGAGCCTGAACAGGCCAGTATGACTGAGGATGAGGTTCATGAGGCTCAGATGAGTGGAGGTCAGACAGAGCTCAAAGAAAATGCGGTTGAGGAGAAAGCACAGTTTGAAGAGATAAAGGAGACGCCTGAAGCTGAGACTGTGACTGATCTCCAAGAAGTAGCAGCAGTCAAAGTAGCGCTCATCAATGCTGTACAACAGGAACCAGAGTTTCTTGAAGAGCCGGTGGTGGCAGAAAAATCCCCTCAGGTTGAGGCTGCAGGTCCTGTGGAACCAACTGTTGAAGATTCAGTCTGTGCCCAAACTGTAGAAGTCACTGAAGTTGTTGTTGCCGAAGTTGAGAAAGTGCAAGAACTGGAGGATGTTAAAGAAGCTAAAGCCACAGTTGAGGTAGCATCTGTGGAGGGAGTTGCCATGGCTGTAACAGAGGAGGTCATGGCAACCCTTCCAGAGGTGCCTGCTTCTCAAACTGCTGGGTCTACAGAAGATCTAATTCCAGTTGTAGCCGCCACTGAAGAATTTGCAGTCATCAAAGAGACTGTTTGTGTTACAAGCTCAACATCTGAGATGACAGAATCCCATTCAGCAGATCTAGCTTGTGAAATTGTTATGGAAAAGGTTCCTCTTGTTCTTCCCGCAGATGACCACAAAATCCAGGTTAAAGTGAATGATGCTGAGGTTGGCTCTGCTCAAGAAGTTGTTGAGAGAAGCTTAGAAGTAACCTCAACGAAAGTTAGTGTTGTGGTTGAAGAAGTTATTGAGAATGTGAAAGAAGAAACTGAAGTGATCCAGGCAACCCAAGTGACAGAAGCAGAAATCATTGAGAAACAGAGCAGTGTTATTGTGCAAGAGGTCATTCAAAATGTTGTAGAGCACCTTGCTGAGGCACATGCAGAACAAAAAGTGTCTACTGAGAAGGTAGAAAGCTGTACCACATCAGTCGATGTCAAATTTGAAGAGGCCCCAGTGGTTTTTGGAATGATTGAGGAAAAAACTTCAACAGAAGTCGTTTCGGAGGAAAAAGCTTCACTAGAAACAAGCCCAGAGAAGCCAAAAGCATCTGACGATATCTGCAAAGATGATAATGAACAAACTCGCATTGTTACTGAGAAACCAATGAAAACAGTCAACGACACCATCCTGATTACAGAAACAGTCACGGTTTCTATCACAGATGAAATCCAACCTCAAAATGAGGAGGTTGCCACAGTCTCTGTGGAAGATGTGCATCATAAAACAGAGGTAACAAAAAGTGAAGTCGAACTTGAGCAAGCAGAAGAGAAAAAGCTTAGTGGGACCACAGAAAGTGAAGAAGGAAAAAGACAAGTTGAATCACATCCCAAGGAAGTGCCAACAGAAATCCAGCAAGAGACACAAGCTTCAGAGGTTTCAGAAGCCATACCAGAAGAAAAGATGACCGAAACATCTGTTATGGGTGAAAGTCAAGACCAGATTGTGGCTGATCAGTGTCAAATGGCACAGGAGGTACAGATTGAGACTGCACAGGAATTTAACGTTGGTGTCATAAATGTCATAAATGCAGATGATGTACCTGTTCAAGACACTGAAACAAACATGAAAGAAGAAAGTTCAGAGGACCAGGAATCAGTAGAAGACAAGCCTCAAAAAGACTTGGAAGAACCTCAAATGGAGGTTTCAACACAGGACACAACAAACCAGGGAGAGTCAAGAGATCCAGACTGTCAAAAGACAGATGCTGAAAATGTACCTGCCAAACTGGAGACTGCTACTGAGAAGACAGCAAATGCCGTTGCAGTGGAGGAGGTGATGGAGGAGGTTGGGAATGAGATCGAGCCAGTCTCCTCAGAGGTTGTCACAGTGTCATGAGCAGGTTAGTCTTTATTAATTTAATGAAACAGATCGTTTTATTTTTATTTTTATAAATGTAAAGCAAAACAGTTATATAAAAAAATATTACAATGTTTCCAAAAGTAGTTTTGTCCATTAAAGAAAGTTCCACATTCCTTATCACAGTTTTTACACAGTTTTCTCAATGGATCTTAGTTTTATTAGGGGTAGATTTCCATTTGGAGAGATGAAAAAGCTTTTGTTCCATGTACTAGTAACCAAGGGACCTTCGATATCAAAGCAGGAATGCCGCTGCCTGACCCTTCACTTTGTATGCTGGGTCTTAAAGGGAAGCCGTGTGAAGAGAGATGAACTTGTGGTGAAAGACCGAGTATAATTCCCCAGCCCCTCCTCTCTTCCACTCATCAAAGCCTTCCATATGTAGTTAAACCAATTCATCTGATAAGATACACTGTATGATCAAATACAACCCTTAGAAGTGTCATATCAGCATATGAGCATAGAGAATAAAACTGCAAGATTAATTTTTTCAATAGCCTTGGAGATTTAAATAGTCTTATACAGTACTTAATTTAGTACTTCATGCCAGTTTCCCAAGAAATTCGTATTATAGAATACTGGCTTATAACATTTGAAGGGTAATACTACATTACAGTAATTAGATTTACATGTGCAGTTATAATTGAGCTACAGCAAGTTTTTGTGTAGTCAAACTACAGTTTTCATCTGTCCTTTAAATATTTGATTAAAATACATAAACATATACTTGAAGGGTTAAATGCATGTTGCACACTACCTGTCTTTCGGAGGATGTGCACAGTGCTGAGGCCAGTTGTAGTTAGATTAATATTTTTACATGCTTAACGAAGCCAAGCTACACTTGTAGCTAGTTAGTATGACTGTGTTTACATGATATTTTAAAAAGATGAATTATTGTATTAGTATGACTTGTCAAAGGCATGTAAACATTATCCTCATGACACATATTATGTTTAAAAATGGTTATTCGCATTTGTAGTAAAAAATAAATAAATAAAGTACTCTAATGTAAAGTGTGACCAAAAGAAGGAAGGGGATGAGAGAAGAGACCTGGGTGTGTCTGATAAATGTTTGATGAGTGCTAATGCAGGACTGCAGTAGAGCAGAGGCTGGTGAAATATAGCATCACAGCATGATCGTTGGTGCACTGCTCACTCTCTCTCTCTCTGACTGCCCCCTTTGCCTTGGTTACTTGTGCTGAGTCATACAAACAGAGTGAGACAGTGCAGATTGAAAGAGCCATTCATATGAAATAATGGGTGACAAAGTAACATAATAGGATAGTAGCTTGTCATGCTAATTGATTAAAGAGCTGTGAGAAAAGAAAAGAGTGCATATTGCAGTTTTGAAATAGTATTTTAATTAGCATTAGCAGAATTAGCATCTTACATGAGTAAGCTTAAAACGTATTGCAAACAAAATGCTGATGTGCTAGAATTTTACTTTTTTTCTCACCATTTTCCTTTTTGTCTTGCAGTCTGCATGTAAAAAGCAGTTACATGTCTGGGGCACAGAGCTTTCCAGAAAGCAGGAAGTGAGTGGCAGCCATGGAGGACACTAAGAGACAGTGCTCTGTACCAACTCCCAGACCAAGAGATTTAAGGCCAATCTCCCTTCTCTTGTTCTCCTTTAATCCATCCATTCATCCCTCTTATCCTTTTTCCAAATTCCCCATAACTCAGCTGCCCCCTACTCCTAATTTCCTGTATTTTGCCAAACTGCATCAGATGCCATTTTCCCCACCTGTAACTTTTTGTGATGAACATTTTCTTTTTTTATTAGTTCCCAGCAGTCTGCCGAATGGAGAGTTTATGTATGTGTGGTTCTTGTATGAGCGTAGGTGTGTCTGTAGTGTTGCAATAGGAGGGTTATGTTTTGTATATTGTATTTATATCGAAGATATTCTCTCAACCCTTTCAAACATGTTCAAACCTTCTAAAACAACCATTGAAATCATGATGTCATGCTGGTGTAAAACTACAAAATACTTAGACATGTCATTTTAACAAACGTGGTACAGATACATCCTCTACAGCTATAGCAAATGAAAAATTGCATAATATGCTGTGGCTGTAATGTGAAAATTAGGTAAAATTCAGTGAACTCTGAAACACAATATCCAGCCATTATCATCTCCATTCTTACTGTAGATATACCACTTCTTCGTCCCTTACTGTGAAATGTTCTTTTTGTTATGTATATTTATCATGTACAATCACGATGAATGATTTCACCATTAATGTGTGACATTTGAGATTTTAAGAGTCTGATGTTCAATTTGATTTGCTTTTAGTGGTACCCTGTGAAATGATCACGATGATGACAGACGCCTGCTTGAGTAGGGAACGTTTAGAAAAGGACATTTCATTGTCCTCAACGTACATGTGCACTTCACTGTTTAACGGCCTTAGCGAATGCGTGTTTCAACACCAAAAATGCACCTGAGGTTAAAAGAAAATTGTGCGATAATTGTGCGAGGAGAATTGTATTAATGCCATGTATTGGTAAACTCTCCGACACAGGTTACACGTGGTTTTAATTCACAGATATGTGGGTATTCAGTAATATAGTGTAGAATATTTTTGCATTCCTAATCTCTGTATCAAGGACTGTTATTTCTTTGAAAGACGTGGTAGATGCCTTATTGTCAGCCTCTTTGAAATGAGTCTATATTATAGCATACATGCAGACAGGATGACAAGGAAAGCATTTAAAAAAAAATGTAAATGAGTGATAGTTGTGTATTTGGATGATGTTGGCAAACTGTAAAGGAAAATTTAGTACAAGTAATTTTTTTAATGAAAATGCATATGCCAAAATTCGAGCAGTCGAAATGTGTACTGGTTAACGTTCAGAAAGTATGCAAATGACAGAGACTGCACAGGGTGCATTATCTTGAAAAAAAAACAGCTTTGCTACTACTGTCACGCTTTGAATGAACAGCCCACTCACATTCTTTTCTTAGCTTTTTATAATACAGTCTACCGTGAAGCTCCTTTAACATTTGTACAAATTGTATACCTATGTACCTTTAGTCATATTGTAATATTAACAAATAACCAATGAAAGCATTAAGGAATGTTATATACCAGTAGCATGTGCCTCGCCTCTTTTTGTATTCTTCAAGCTGTTAATACTATGGATTCAAAATCATGTCTATATTTCATTCAAATAAAGCTAGTGTAAATCAAGCTTGCCTTCTCATTGCCCTTTATCCTGTTTGTGTGTATTGCTGTGTTGTGGGGATAGAGAAAATGCAAACTTAAGTATATATATATATATCTGAATTGGCATAAGATAAATGCTGGTAATATTTAAGCGTAGTTAAAGTTCATTATGTTTTTGCAAATTTTGGTGTAGTGGCACCACATTAAAAACCCAATGGTGCCATCTTGTGGCTCGCACAACCAGACTTACAGCACTGCAGTTTACATTAAGGATTTTCAAAAATAAGTAGCAGTGCTATTTTACATTCAAGGGTTTGGGGTTGATACATTTTTTTAAAGTTACTTATGGCTTCACCAAGGCTGCATTTATTTGATAAAAATAACAATAAAATAGTGAAATATTGCAATTTAATACAATATATTTAGTATTATCTACCTTGCTGAATTAAACAAAAAAAAAAACTTACCCCAAGCTTTTGAACAGTAGTGTATATACAGTGTTCAAACATAAGGAAATAATAACATTTCAAAAACATAAGGATTTATTATCATTATTCACAATGAAAACGCAAAGGAAGCATTTTTTCCAGAGACAACTGTTCATGTTCCTGAGGAGCGAGAGATCACAGTATGCTTACCTTGGCTTTGGGGTTTGTGGGTTTGAGGGGGCACCTTTACCCCTTCCTCCCTAAAACTGCCTCAAGATTAACAACTTGCATATGTACAAATAACAAAGAGTTGTAACGATACTACAGGAAATAAAAAGGCATGACATCGCCTGATGTATGATTACAAATAAGAAAAATTAACATTAGTTAAAAAAAAAAAAAACTTTGTAACAAAATGAAGCAAATGGTCATTCCTGGGCTCTAATTAACTATTCAGTAGTAACTTAACTCACAGTGCTCTTACAATACATTTCTACAAGGTCTTTACAAAGAGAAAGATGGAAGAAATATTTAGCACTGAATGTAAATCACCCTGGTTGTAAATGACAGAAGTTTCCTGATGTAGCACAAGTATACTGATGAAAGTAGCCAGGGATCTTAAGTAGATATCAGTGCTTTTACAGCATAACCTCACTGTCAGTTTCATGAAAACAAAGACAGTCAACGCAGAGATGACTGACACGCACACACAAAATAATATTCTACAGTAAATGCATTGAACAATATACCACCTCTGAGATTATAAAATTCTTTGTAAATAAAGCACTGTACATAAAATTAGAAAAGTTATGTAAAACTCAAAAAAAAAAAAGAAAGAAAAAAGGAATTTAAGAGCATATTCAAGCAAATCATTTCATGGCAAAATTAAATCGGCAAACAGTGACAGAAATATCTCCCTTCAAGCAATATTATACACATGTGTACGATTGGCCACATTGTTTTCTAAATTCACACACAGTAACAACTTTGGATTAAACACAGCACAACTGTAAACATGTTGAACCACAATGAGAGCAACAACCAGATTGCTGATGAGCTGTTGCCGCCGACCAATTTTACAGCAAGGATGTTTATCATTTAAGTGGCATTGGCACGAAAAAAAAAAAAGCACTGTAACAAACTGACAATTAGGTAAATATATTGTGGGTCACATGAACTATATAAGTGATGTTCGACAGGTAATCTGGTACTGCATGAAGGCTATCTACAATTACACCTGGCTCTTGCTAACCCAAAGCATGTAATGAGAAATTAGAAACAGCGTCAGAAAGAAAAACTTTGAGATCTGTGTAACTCCTCGGAGGCACTGGAAGATAAAGTTGACTTTGATCCTCGACCCTTTGATGCAAATTTCAGGTAAGTCTGATATTGCATGTCTGAAACCGGTTGAGGTAGTGAACACTCATCCTAAATCAGGACCCACATTTAGCTGCTCAGAAAATGACATTTTATTTTCAAAAGAAATGCTGGTGCTGTACCCATGAACTAATCATTTTGTGGCTTTAATATTTTAAATATTCCATTGAGTTACCAATCCAACGTAATGAGGTCTACGTCTGATCAGCATGGTGACAAAGGCAGGATTTCAGCAGTTCACTACATCCTTTTCCTGTAGACCGTTAGGCAGAGGAAGAGCATTAACCGCAACACAAACTACAAATGACTCGAGTAACCATTAAAACCCTTGAAAGCAATACAGAACGAAGCAGAAATTTTACTTGCTGTACTAAACCTACTGTAAATCTGTTATAAATATAGTAAATGAATACATGAGTGTTTAAAAAAAGCAGAAAGTCGGAGTACTTTTCAGTAGAAGTAAAATTCCCAGAAAAAAAGAAACAATATAACAGAATTTCCCATCTGTAGCTTAACTTCTGATCATAATTTACCCACAAATGCAATACAATTAGAAAAACAATACTCTGAAGTGGATGAATGTGAAGCTATTCCACAAAGACTTCCTCAGTTTTGATGGGCGTTATGAACGGCCCCCCGTTGGATGAATCCGAGCCTTCGTCTTTAGCCAGGCTGTCACTGTTCAGCCCACTGACACCAATTTCTCCAGCCGCTGTGCCCGAGAGCACACCCTGGTTGAAGCACAGGTGCTTGATCACCTCATTGGGGCTGGAAAAGGTCATTTCACACACATTGCATTTGTACGGTCTCCCAGAAGAACTGAGAAACAGAGCCTCCATTTGGCTGGAGTCGTCTACATCACACAGCTCCATGCTCTGTCGGTCCACCATGGTGTACGCTGGCTCTGAGCCCAGATTCATGCAAACGTGCCGCGCCGCCTGGTTGGCCCGACAGAAGCTCTTGCCGCAGGCGCTGCAGCGGTATGGCTTTCCCGTATGGATGTACATGTGCTCTCTCCAGTGGCTCTTCTGGATGAACTTGCGGCCACAAGTGGAGCACTCATATTTCCTCCGCTTCACTTCCCGCTCCATGTCAGCCGCACCCTCTAGGTTGTCGATATCAGCGATATCAGACGGCGGCGGTGTGTCCGCCTGGGGCTGAGCAGAGCACAGGCTGACTGCAGTTGTTGTTGTTGGGACGGGCATGGCGGTTTCAGGATGTTGCTCGCTGTCACTAGCAGCGTCCACGATGATGGGAGTGGCTGCAGCAGCTTCGCTGCCTCTGAGGACTTCTTCGACCTCTGGCGTAGCGGCACCTCCGGTCGGCATGGGGGAAGCCGCACTGACAGACTCTAACACCAGGGGCAGCATAGCCTGGGTGTGTAGAAGCAGGTGCTCTCGTAAGGCTCCTCGCTGGGTGAAGCGGCCCCCGCAGACATGGCACGTATAATGCTTCCTCAAAGAGGAACTTCTTCTCATGATGCTGGGCTTCACATGCAGAATGGTGTTGGCGCTCAGGGAGCAAGACGAGGCTTCACCTGCAGATGTTTCCGTCTCGCAGCCTTCCCTCACAAACTGACTGGTGCTCGCCGACGCTTCTACCTCCGTTTCTGACAGAGCTTGCCTGTGCTTGGATAGAGGCCGCATCAGTGAGGTAGCTTTGTTTGTGGTAACACACTTCCCATCGAGCAAACCGCTGCCTTCCAAATCGAACGGCGAAGAGAGATGCGTGCTTGCCGAGAGGCGGTTTGTCAGCGTGGCCTGTTGGTCTGATATCTGAATGCCATAAAGAGAGGACGACAGGGGAAGGCTGACCTCAGAATGTGCCTGAGCCGCATGGCTAGCCAGACTTGCCTCCTGAATGAGAGGGTACGCATGGAGGAACTTGACGCCCTGCTCCAGGCGAGCCGGGTCAATAAGCTGCGTCGCCAGTTTTCCGGTGTACATAAGATTGAGGAGGTAGCTGAAGATGTCGGGCTGAATGTCAGCAGGCTTCAAGCGAACACAGTCACTGGTTGAGAGGATAAAGAAACAGATTCAAAGTTGAAAACCAATGTTTATTCTATAAAAGTGCTTTAATACCCATTTAGCTTATTAGTTAAGAGCACATTTTATCACAAATTACCCTTCCAAAAAAAAGATATACTGCGTCTACTGTATATTATATGGTCACTGGAAGTTCAACATGGCACCTCACATGGCAAAGAACTCTGAGGATCTGAAAAAAAGAATTATTGCTCTGTAGCACGGTGGCCAAGACCATATAGCGGTTTAACAGGACAGGTTCTACAGAACAGGCCTCGCCATGGTCGACCAAAGAAGTTGAGTGCACATGCTCGGAGTCATTATCCAGAGGTTGTGTTTGGGAAATAGACATACGAGTGCTGCCAGCATTGCTGCAGAGGTTGAAGGGGTGGGGGGGACAGCCTGTCAGTGCTCAGACCATACGCCGTACACTGCATCAAATTGGTCTGCATGGCTGTCGTCCCAGAAGGAAGCCTCTTCTAAAAGGTGATGCACAAGAAAGCCTGCAAACAGTTTGCTGAAGACAAGCAGACTAAGGACATGGATTACTGGAACCATGTCCTGTGGTCTGATGAGGCCAAGATACACGCTTGACACCATCTGAACCAAATAAGTTTGTGGCGGCAACCAGGTGAGGAGTACAAAGACAAGTGTGTCTTGCCTACAGTCAAGCATGGTGGTGGGAGTGTCATGGTCTGGGGCTGCATGAGTGCTGCCGGCACTGGGGAGCTACAGTTCATTGAGGGAACCATGAATGCCAACATGTACTGTGACATACTGAAGCAGAGCATGATCCCCTCCCTTCGGAGACTGGGCCGCAGGGCAGTATTCCAACAAGATAACGACCCCAAACACACCTCCAAGACGACAACTGCCTTGCTAAAGAAGCTGAGGGTAAAGGTGATGGATTGGCCAAGCATGGGCATCCTCAAACGGAAGGTGGCGGAGTGCAAGGTCTCTAACATCCACCAGCTCTGTGATGTCGTCATGGAGGAGTGGAAGAGGACTCCAGTGGCAACCTGTGAAGCTCTGGTGAACTCCATGCCCAAGAGGGTTAAGGCAGTGCTGGAAAATAATGGTCGGCTAGGGCTGTCGCGGTGAGGGAATTTCCCTTGCGGTAATTGAGTGGCTCAATAGCAGTTTTACCGCCATAAATATACATATATGTATATACACACACACACATATA